GTTTTAGCTTCTGACCCTGTACGGAGAGTCTTGTTTTAAGCACCACTTTTTAAAGCTTCCACGTGCTCCTTCCCGGTCTCTGCGCATTCACTGTCTGTTGCTTTCTCTCCTTCGGGAAAGTTGTTGCCTCTTCAGCTTCTGAGAGGGTATGACCCGGACTTCCTCCAAGTTCCTGTCCCTGAGTCCTTCACCCCTTGTCTTCCTCTCTATGTGGAACTTTCGCTCAGTCCACACACGCTCACAGGCATGCTCACATGCACATGGGCACACACGTATGTAGGCACATGTGCAGGCATGTTCACAGACACATGTGTAGACATGCTCAGACACACACAGTGCACACACAGATACATGCTCACAGGTGTGCACATGCAGATATGCTCACAGGTGCACATGCACACAGACACATGCTCACAGGCACACACACGTGCAGACACACGCTCACAGGCGGACACACGTGCAGACACACTCACAGGCACATACACGTGCAGACACACGCTCACAGGCACACACGTGCAGACACACGCTCACAGGCACACGCATGTGCAGACACGCTCACAGGCATGCTCACATGCACATGGGCACACACGTATGTAGGCACGTGTGCAGGCATGTTCACAGACACATGTGTAGACATGCTCAGACACACACAGTGCGCACACAGATACATGCTCACAGGTGTGCACATGCAGATATGCTCACAGGTGCACATGCACACAGACACATGCTCACAGGCACACGCACGTGCAGACATGTGCTCACAGGCGCACACACACAGACACGTGCTCCCAGGCGTTCATGCACACAGACACACACACACGCACCCTCTCCCCTTCCCTTCACTTGGCCCTGCTCTGAAGCTCCATCTCTCATTAGAACAGTATCCCTGTCAGCCCTGTGCTGACGTCTGGGACATTGTGGTCCCCTGGACAGGGGAGGACACAGGTGCTCATAGGCACATGCTCAGTCACCTCCACTGACCTCGACTGCCCAGCAGTGAGACTGGGCCCCGCATCACACCACTTGTCCACCAGAGCCCACCCTGCCCTCTACTCTAGAACCTGCCCCCAAATGGATGGAGGCACTGAGTGGGTTCCTCCCACTGGGGTGTGGGGCTTTTGGGCCCCTCAAGTGACCCAGCCCTTCAGCTGTGTTCTGACTCAGGGGTCATGAGGTCATGGGGTCCTGGGTGGGGAACATATTGCTCCAGAAAGTCCCTCCTCTGGGGCATCTTGGCTCTGGAGAAGTGGGGGACCTTTCAGAGGTGTGGAGGCCTGGAATGGGAGTCACTCCTCCTGGAGCTGCCGGCTCCAGGATGGGAGGTCTGGGCTTCGGCGACAGACCAGGAGAGGGGCCAGGAGCAGAGTGGCCACGGTGACTTGGTGATCACCAGGCAGCCACAGCAGCTGTGCACACCACGCACAGGGGCTCAGTGCCAAAGCCGCGTTGGGGCCGCAGGTGGGCAGGCAGCATGTGAGGAGATTAAACGGCTCCCCACGCCCCAGGGCTGCAGCCCGGGGTCCGAGTGCCAGGCATGGACAGTACCAGCTGGAACTGTAAAGTGACGGCCCGGCTCTGGCTGTCAGGTTTTTAATTTTAATTTTAATTTTGCTTTGGCTTGTTACAGAGAAAAGGGCTTCAGGGATCAGGCTTTGGTTGAGAGGGAAAAAGGATTTCTGAATCCCTGAGGCTGCCCACATGCACCAGAGGCTGTGAGGGCCCGGGGGTGGGCACACAGTGTCCACGAGCCTCTGGAGGTGTCCCCAGCCCAGGTTGGGGACACGCTAGCTCGTTTTCTCCTCTCTGACTTCTCTCCCCACCGAGCCGTGTCTTCCATCAGACATGACCAGCAGTTGTGTTCCCCAAGAGAATTTATCAGCAAATGCCCACTTCTTTTTGTTTCTAAGGTAAAATACTCATAACAAAACCTGCCACTTTGGGGGGCCTTCTGTGGGCCTCAGTCCCACCCCTCCAGCCCCCCACAACCAGGCCAGTTAAGGAGCCGACCATGAGCCGGCCCTGCCCCCCATCCCGCAACAGCTCAGGGTGTTTTAAAGAAATAACAATAATAAGTAAATAGATTTTTTTAAAAATCCGCCACTTTAACCTGTTAAAATCTAGTTCTCTGGCTCTCGGCACATTCACGTCTTTGCCCAGCCACCGTCAGCTAGTTCCAGAGCATTTCCATCGCCCAGAGGAGGCCTGTGCCCACCGTCCCCCTCTTCCTGAGCCCAGGGACAGCCGCCTGCGTCAGCCAGGGGAGGCCAGGCTGGGACAGGCTGACGGGGACAGGGGCAGTGTGTGTCCGGGAGGCAGTGAGTGGCAGGTGGGGCAGAGGCCGCCCAGGGAGGGACCTGCATCTCATTCTGACCAAACCTGAGCTCCACATGGGCTGTGGCCAGTGGGTGTGGGGCCTGCAGGCCTGACGGTCGGGCCAGAGTCCCGGGCCTTTTTCTTTCTGCACCTGCAGCTTCAGCCCTTTGCTGGGCGGTCCCTCCCCGACCTTAGCCCACCCCACCCGGCCTGCCCCACAGCCTCAGGTGTGCCCGCCCCCCCTGACCGCCTCCTCTGCCCCAAGTGAGGAGGAGGGTGTCTTGTAGGGACAGCGGCCAGCCCCCTGCAAAGGCTTCAAAGGCCCACATGCCCCCCCACCAGCCAGACCAAGAGGTTCATCCACATGATGGTGGGGTGGCTCTTTGGGGATCCTCTGTGCCCTGGACCCTCCTCCCGCCCCTTGGACATCCCATCCCCATGCTGAGGCAGGACACTGGCAGCAGAGCTCAGGGTTTATTGTTCCAAGTGCTGAAGACGAGGAATGGAGTTGCACAGAAGCCAGCAGGGACAGAGGGGAGGCCCAACCAGGAGGGGAGGGTCCCGTGCCTGCCATGGGCAGGGGCACCCCAGCTGGATTCTGACGTCTGCTGCTTTGGGGGATGAAGCCTCAGAAGAACAGATTCACTGTGGCCTTCAGAAGCTGGGCCTGGGCCTGCGCCTCCCGGAGACCCCCAGAGATGGAGGGTGGGGGCCGCTTCTGGGCACTGTGGGGAAGGCGCTGGTGGAGCTGAAGGGAGCCACGGGAAGGGAGAGCAGGGAGCTTTCCAGAAGAGGACGGAGGAGGAAGGGCCAGGCCTGTCAGCCAGGAGCAGGGGGTTTCTGGGAAGGTGTTCCAGGGAGCGATCCGGGCTTCGGGGCCCCTTGCCTGGCCTCCAGCCCCCACCCCACCCCCGAACTCACACTGGGCACCCTGAGAACCCTCTAGGGGCTGCCGGGGACAGCGTGAGGGTCTCAGTGGCCTGCTGGCTGCCGGGGGACAGCAAGAGACCCGAGCTGCGCTGGAAGCGGGCCCGGCTCAGCAGGAGGCTGCCGCTGGCCGGGGCGCGCGGGCGGCGGCGCCGGTGGTCGCGGTAGTTCCTGGAGAGCAGCGTGTAGAGGAAGGGGTTGACGCAGCTGTTGCCGTAGGTGAGGCACGTGGTCAGGTAGTTGACGATGCGTGCCGTGCGGGGCGCCAGCGGTGGGGCCTCGCAGTACTGGGTGAGCAGCTGCCACAGCCAGAAGGGCAGGAAGCAGGCCCAGAAGAGCAGCACGATGCTGAGGATGAGGTACAGCACCCTGGGGCTGGGCAGCCGCCGCGTCTGCTTGAAGGGGGCCCGCTGCGACAGCCAGTAGGCCCGTGCCAGCCGGACGTAGAGCAGCCCGATGGCCAGGCCGGGCCCCACGATGCTGGTCCCGAAGAGCAGCGTCAGGTAGGCGCGGTGGGCACGCTGGCCCCAGACCGGCAGGCAGAGGCTCTTGGGGCCCCGGTGGACCAGCCGGATGGCCAGCATCACAGGCAGTGTCAGCAGCAGGGCCAGCAGCCAGGTGCCCAGCGCCAGGAGCTTGCGGTAGCCCTTGGAGCGCCGCACCGTGTCCAGCGGCCGCAGCACCGCAGCATAGCGCTCACTGCTCATGGCGGTCAGGGTGAAGATGCTGGCGTGCATGGTCAGGAAGTCCAGGCTGAAGAGGATGCGGCAGCCCATGTCTCCAAAGTGCCACCCCTTGGTGACATAGGTGGCCACGATGAAGGGGATGCCGAGCAGGTAGAGCAGGTCAGCCAGTGCCAGGTTGATGACGTAGATGTGCATGGAGGCTGAGGCCCGCAGGAAGCGGCACACGACCACCAGCGTGTACACGTTGCCCGCCACACCCACCACGCCCATGGCTGAGAGCACTGCCCCGATGGTGCCCGTGGCCACCAGGTCCTCCAGGGAGCTGGGCTCCATCGGGCTGGCCCACGAGTCATTGAGGGACACGTTGGGGCCACCAGGGGGATCAGGCATGGTGCTACCTGTCACAGCTAGCACAGGAAAATTGCTCGTGGACTCAGGGCTCAGTGCCATCTCTGCCTCTCACGCTGGGCTCAGGGCTGGGGAGTGCTGCTCCTTGGGCTGGGGAGGGGGCATCTGTGGGCAACCTGCTCGTCCTGTGGGAGAAGATACCCATTAAAGATGCAAGTGAGGCACCCCTCCACTCCCACGAGGCCACTGTGATAGGCACAGGGTCACACGGGCCAGTCTCAGAAGAATAGAGGCTCAGACTCCCCTCGAGAAGACACCATTTTGCTTAATCTGCCCAGCTATCCAGGAGAACCTGAGAACTACCTGACCAGCTCTCCCCTGGTGCATGACCCAGCAAGACCTGCACCCCAGGCCTCAATGCAAGTGCAAAGGCCTCTGGGTTGACTGGGCTTTTTGGAAAACCAGAACACAGCAGGGCAGCCCCCTGGGAGTAGAGGCTCCAGCCCTGCCCCCAGCACACCACTGAGGCCTCACTTTCTCAGCTGTGTTTCTCACTTTCTTGGGCAGGGGGGCCCTGCTTACCACCAACTCTTCTCTCCCACTTCATTTTACTTGTATGTTTTTTAAAGTGCATTTTCTTCAGGTTGCAAAGGTAGAACCTTCTGACTTTAAAAGTCCAAACAGAAAAATATGTAGGGGGAAGGCCTTTGTAATCGCCGTTTATCATACGGGAAAAATGAGCCTTGATCCCCACCTCACACCACACACAAAATGAATTCAAGACGGACGGCAGACCTGCACGTAAACAGTTAACTTGATCCGTCCCTCAAGCTTCTGGAAGAAAACAGGAGCATATCTGCACCACCTCGGGTAGGAAAAGAGTACTTAAAAATGAACAAAAAACACAAATGGACTTCATTAAAATTAAGAAATTTACTAAGAAAGTAAAAATGTAAACTACAAGTTGAGAGATTATCAGAAGATGTATATGAGACAAAGAACTAATAACCAGACTATATCGACCACCTACAGTTGAATAAGGCAAATACTAACAACCCATTTGAAAAAAAAAGACAAAAACTTGAACAGGGGCTCGTCAACAAAGGATATCGTAACAGCCAGCAAACCCATGGAAAGGTGCCCGGCACCATCGGCCGTGAGGAACATGCAAATCAAAGCCACGACAAGATACCACTTCGTGCCCACCGGGGTGGCTGGAATCAGAAAGACAGATGCTCGCCACACGTGTCGGGAGGTGCGGGCAGTGGGAACCCTCACCAACCATGGCAGAAATGTGGGGTGACGTGGCCACTTTGGAAGACAAGTGGGCACTCTTAGGAGAGCATGTGCGCACCCTGTCACCCAGCAGCTCCACTCTTAGGTTTGCCCCTGGAGGAATGATCACAATGTCCACAAAAGGACGAAAGCAAGCATGTCACCAGCAGCTTTTGTCCTCATGAGGAGACAACCCGAACATCCACGAAGAGTATGTGGACGAGCAAACTGCACGTGTGCGTGAGAACGCTCCACAGCAAGGACGGTGGCCGGGCCACTGCCAGGGTCAACGGCCTGGACCAAAGGCACGCAGGCCACACTGAAGGAGAGAGACCAGGGACAGGAGCACACCTGTGACTGCACTTGTGTGAAGCGGAGGAACGGGAAGTCACCTGTCACAGCGAGGTGACAGGAGTCGTTTTTGGGGGGGTGTCAACTGGCAGGGCGCTGGAGAGCCCTCCAAGGGCTGGAAACGTGCAGATCTGGGTGGTGATCACACGGGTGTAGACACGTGTAAGAGCTCACAGAGTTGCACGTGTAGGATCCGTGCCTGCTGTGTGCAGGGCATGCTCAGAAGAAAAAGGGGCCTAACTGGCGATAACCGGAGTAGCAAACCCTCTATCGCCCCTGGTCCCCCACATCCGGGCACGACGGCGACTCTTGGCGGTTTCCTTCTGCACGTGCCATGTTGATAGTCATAAAGGTGAGGTGGAGGCCTCGTGCTCCATGGATCGGGAACCCCGCCCCAGGTCCCCCTGCCCTTGGGACCGGGCCAGCCCCTGGTGCAGGGAGGGGAGCCGGGCCACCTTCTGCCCCCCGCGGGCAGCGCGTCACGGGCCTCCGAGGAACAAGCGTCTGCTGGGCGTCGCGCTTCCGAGTCAGTCACGGGGCGGGCGTGGGGAGCGGCCGGCTGGGGGACCCCGGAGGCTGGGAACGTCGCCCCTCGGTCCCCGGCCGCTCGCCGCCTGGCATCCTCCCGGCCTCCCCCAGCCCCTCGCTCCCGCCGGGACGCCCAGCCGACGCCGGCAGGGACCGCGCGCCCCGCACCCACCTGCCGCACCTCGGGCTCCGAGCCACCGGATCTGGTCGCCTCGCCGCCCGGAGTCCTGTCGCTCGTGGGGTCCGCGGCCCGGCGACGCCCCTAAACCCGCGCGGGGTCACAGAAGGGAGGGCCCGGGTCTCGAAG